CAAAACATTAAATATTAGATTAAAATTATAATTTAAGATAATTTAACCTAACTTAATATAATTCTTACAAGTATATGTAAGAATTCTTAATGTTATTCAAATCAATCAATAAACGAAATAAAAATTAGAGAATCGCAATGTCTCAAACAATTCTCAGAAAAAAAAAGATGTCAATTACGCAAGGGTTACAGAAATACAAACTCGTTATAATATAGTTATCTTGCATGGTTTCGTAATTCTACAGTCTGGCACGTGGTTTGTCCAAAGAAAACTGTATTGGACTCGCGTGTCGTACTTGCATCCGAGTACCTTGCCTCGCCTTATTCGCAACATTAATAACTGGCGCATTTGCATCATAAATACGGACCGAATGCACAGACAATGACAATTTGCAGTGCGATATGAAATCGAGTTGCATACGCACGATATCTTCTTTTGCACAGCTCGAGAAATGGCTTCGATGAAGGAACAAGAGCTATATTTGCAAAGCATTTTTTTTTTAGAAAATAGGACATTATTTAATTGTTTGATTATTGTTTCTTTTATCATTCGATGTGCTGTTTGATGATGTAAAATTTAATCCTATATTTTATGATAGCAGTAGATCTATAGATAATTGTAGATCTATAGTCTTATTTGTACACCATCATAAATCATTGATTAGTAATGTATATAAAACTATATTTTATACTTTATATTTTAATTGTGAATAAATTATAAATTTTTATCATTTATTAATTATAATCATATTTTTTTGAAATATACGAGAAATTTGAAAATTTTTTTTCTTAATTTATATTTCTCTTGAATGTAACAAAAAAAGAGATTAGAAAATTTTTCATAATGTTATACATATAAATAAATAAAATATATAAATAATTAATAAAATATGTAAATAAATTTACATATAAATTTTCTAAAAATATAAAAACAATGCGATCTAGATATTTATTAGATATCAATTATTTGTAATAATAATTCTGTCTTATTAGACATCATATCAAGATAAAATAAAAAATTGCATTCATCAAGATTAAAAATAATTGCAGCATATAAAAACCGGTCTTAAAGCAATTTTTAAAATTAGGGCTTATATTACGTGTCATAATCAATAGCAAAAGAAATATGGACATATTAATAATAGAAAATTTATCTTATAATCGAATATCCATGTGAAAACCATGTACTAATTTTTTGTGCATTCAAGTAAGTTGATCATAGCCAAGAAGAGTCACCAATTGCTAAAAAACAGAAGTCGTAAAAGAGAATTATGAATCCTCTGTCAACCTACTAATATCATCAAAAAAAGAATAATTCGATATGATTATCATGATTATCTTAAAAATATATTCCAACATATTTAATCAAATGATAATTGATTTTTTTATTTTCTTCTTTTTTCTTTTTTTATCATATACTTCATGAAAAAAGTTTTTAGAACATAGAATGAAATTCTAAAATAGAGTATTTAAATATTCAGATATTCTTTTCTGTATTAAAATTTTACATATTTTTAAAAAACTTTTCATTCCTATCAGAAAATTTTTAAATTAAACTGTATCACAGTTGATACATTTATTATCAATTTATGTTATTTCAAATTTAAAATTCTAATTTTTCAAATTCTAAATTTTTTTATTAAATATATATTCTTTTATCTAATCATTTACATTTGAAAATCTAATTAATTTTTTTCATAATATATTTACAAATTTGATTTTTTCTAATCGATTATTCGAAAAATCATTTGTATGAACGAATTTTTTCACAATTAATCGATATTCTATTAGAAATTATTGAATATTATGAAGTTCTAAATGATACTTCTCATTCTCAGTATATACTAATCTTATAGAATTATATAATTAATATAATTTTTCAATTTTCAATATCATTATACTAATTCAAAAAACTCTGTGATCGAAATCACGATCGAAAGCAGTATATGACTGACCTGATTCGCCGATTCGATCATGGACAGGCATAACGCAAAAGGAAAGTACGCGCGAATAGCGGTGTCTCTTTAATGGGGACCAAATTTGATCTGCGACACTTTCTTCGATTCGCATCTGCAGTTAATAATTCTTCTGAGAATCACCTGGATACGCTTTCCTGATACACCGGACGCATGAAAATTTATGCAGTTGCGTGACACTCCCATGAAATTTACTCGTTCCATTCCCTATTTTTTTTTTTTTTTTTACATTTCATTATAGCATCTAATGAAAGAAAATTAAATTTCAAATACATAAAAATATAATATAACATATTTAATTCTATCTAATGTTATATTAGAATGTCCCAAAAGTTATTTTCTTAAGAATATATTAATAAGATTTTGATAAATTGAATAGAAATTTCAAAGAAATAAACAAAATATGTAAAATATATAAAATTTTATAAATAATAAAATTTAGAAGCGTCATTCTTTTTTCTGAGAAAAATATAGAAGATATAAAAATAAAACAAAAATAATTTTTGGGACAAATTAATGTAAAAGAGAAAATTGATTTTAGATTTAAAAATTTTCGTTTCGAAATTAATGTAAGTATTTTTAAGTGTAAGAATATTTTCATTACAAACCCTGTATCTTGTTACCACTACTTAATCTCACTTGATCATGAAATTTCCAAATTCCTTCTGTTCAACGAGCATATAATTTTTAAAAAATTTTCGTGGAATTTCTCGATCTAAAACAAAAATTCAGAAAAAAGTTAAAAAAGCAACAGGAGAAGCCTTCATCTTGGAACGAAAAAATAATTAGAAAAAACCAAACTAACTCACAGTCACGAACGACAAACGGTAGCGATGATGATAGGCGGGCTACTATTTAATTACGAGTCTCTTAAATCAAGAAATCTTATCCGGTGAACGACAAGGGAGCAATTTCTCCGTAGAAAAGAGAACATTCGCTCCCTCCCTAATCACGATCCTTCTACCATCGGGTCGCAATTAAAACGGAACGATCGAGACGCCGTTCAAATTACGGAAAACATAATAGATTTTGATAACAAGCTTGCACCCAACCGTTCTCGCAGATTTATATGTCTCGAGGCGATCGATTGTCGATGATCGAGGCGCGTGATCCTTAATAATCGTCGATAATAGACCGCGTAAGACGATAATTAGATATAGAATAACCGTGGCTAAGTATACACTCGGGGTTATACCTGTTCGTTTTTTCCCTTCATTCGCCTTGTCGCTTTAGCGGTTTCTTTGCATACGCGTGGGGATGAAACGCGGACAGGGAGAAAAGAGAGAAGCTCATCGACGGTGGCCCTGCCGTTTAATTAGTTTCCTTAACGACGCGAAAGTACAGAGAGTCGATGCTTCTGGCCGTGTCTTGGAACAGCTTAAATCAAGGGAACTTATCAGGCCACGGCTGCGTTTACTGGCGGGCATTTAGCTTAAATTAGCCGCGGCTCGCTCGCGCCTCAGGATAAATCGACGAAATCATACACCTCGGCACATTCAATTACGGGACCAGTCCATCCTCCTTCTTTCTTTTTTCCTCAGCTCCTCTATAACCGCTTCCCCTTCTCATAATACGCGTGGCTTCGACTACTGTGATCCAACCTTCTGAAATACTTTGTCGATCGAGATGATCGTATTTATTTTTTTTCCAAAGTATTTTTTCTTTCATTTTGTTTTGATTAGTTCGTTCTTGATTTTGCTTTTTGGAATCAATCGATAGAAAATTGATTAATATACAATTTTTTATACTATAATGTGTAATTAAATGTTTAAATTTGACCCAAGATTTTATGGATATCTTTTCATTCTTTGATAATTGTACGATATGCAGTAAAAGATAATTAAACTCCTCTTGATTATTTAAATTAAAAATATATTAAGATGTTAATAGATATTATATATATATAGAATATATATGATTATTATTTATATGTAATTATTTACCATGAAATATATTTCAAATTAAATGAAGTATTACTACAAATGAAATTATATATTCCATTAAGTATAATTAACATTATATTTAAATCAAATATTCTGCACACTATTTCATATTTAGTTTTTAATATTTTTTTCAAAGCAAATAATTTATTTATCTTTACTTTTTATTGTTTTTATTTTTTGGAATACTTTATTAATATTAATCATAGAATAAAACGAAAAACGAAAAAAGATATACATTTTTGGATCCTTTTTTTAAATCTTATTTAAAATGTTAATAATAAATATTAATAATCGCATCAAAATAACCGAATCAATTCAATCAAAACTTAATCCAATAAAACTATGTAAAATGAAAAGTAATTAAAAATCATCGTTACCAGAACTACCGAAGATTTCTTCGACCCATAAAATCAGAAAAGGTGTACAAAATAAAACTCGTTCTGGAGAAATACGGTCGTTCGTATTAAAAAGTAGACGAATAACTGGCAGGAATCTGGGGAAAAAAAAGAAAGAATGAGGAAAAAACATGTTTGTGAATTTTATAACGGTGAAGCTTAAAAGTATTTTTTAGTTTTAGTGGTCGTCCAAGCGAGTCTCATATCTTCGAGCTATCTGATGCTTTACGGTGTTGCACAGAGATTTAAAGGGGCGGGTCATTTTTGGCCGCTTGTTCAGGAAGCATCCTGAGGAACAGCTGATCCTTTCGTAAATGCTGGCCCCAACACATTCTTTTTATTAAGAACCTATACTCCTCCATTTCGACAAAAATTCGATTCAGAATCTCTCGAAGATATGAAACGTGCTTCAAATTAAATAAATTTCTAAAATAAGTTTTTTATTGTTACTTTTGAAAGAAAAAATTATTTAATAAATTAATTATTTTTACTATTAGTGAAACAGTTAAAATTTTACTTATCATAGATTTGAAAGATTTTTAAAAAGATGATATACATACTCTTTCATTTAACGTTTCAAATATTTCATGTATAATTAGTCTGTAAATAATAAGGATATAATTACGACAATATCGTTCACTCAATGTTTAAAATAAATATTAAAATTTTATTATCAACAAATGAATTCAAACAAAATGAATATCGATCGAAACCAATCATTATTTATTTGGCGGCGTTTGTTTTGAACATAATTAAAGAGAGAGAGAACAGTGGTAAAGGGTTTCGATGCAATTCTTAGAGTGAAATTACACCCTTGTTATCCGTTTACAATTGAATGTTCAAGAGTATATAATCGTTCGGGTGTAAAAATAGGAGGCACTTCAGGGTTAAGCGAAGGGTGTAAAAATACGACTCGTCTTCCATCGGCTGTTGGATCAGTTCAAGGGATCCTCAGGCCATGAATGAAGTCGTAAAAGTCCCTTGCTTGTTTTCGTGAATGGAGTCGTGCAAAATTACGGATACGAACCTGCTATATTTTACGAATATACAAATGGAGTATATTTTCGACTTTTTTAAATTCAATTCTTTTGATTACGTAGTCATAAATTTTACTTAATTGAAATTGTCAAGTCTAACATAATTTAATTAAAATTAATAAGAGATCATGTCTCATTTATATTTGTAAAAAAATCTGCTATAGAACTTGCTGCATAAAATCTGTAAGTCTTTTATAGAAATTTGTTTAATAAATATAAAGATGTCATATAAAATTCATTATATATACATATAAAATTGATCTTTTTAGATATTATGTATTTAATAACAAAAGAAAACTAATAAAAATATATACTTACATAAAATTTTTCATCTGATGAAATATATCATCAGATCAGAGAGAAATGACATCGAAGCGTGACATAATTTTTCTTCGAGGTTATGTGTATGCACAGGATCTGACTGATATCGGAACGTATGCATTCAGGTCGATGTATGCACAACAAACAGATCTCAATCTTTTGGCCCTGAAACGGTAAAGGAAAACCTCTCATTAGAGATCGAGACAGCGAATGGTAGCGTCTCATTAATGAACCCTCGATCGAAATGGCACGGTTATCTGTTCTCGTGCCTGGAAAAGAAGCTGAATGGTCAGGTGCAACTTGAAAGCGCATGCATGCAGTTGGCTATACGTAATCTACTTCCGTCTTCGTTTTTCTGGTATACTTACACGTTTCAATCCGATTTTTTTTAATTGCCGTTCTTTTTTCCACAATTTTTTCTTATCATGATCATATCTTTAGGGAAAGCTCTCACTTACTCTTCATTTTTAGTCTTCTCATCAATCGGTGTCTCAAAACGAGACTTTTAATATTCTTTTTTCGGTTTTATACTCATTTATCGTTTCGATATTTGATTGCATATACATGATTTAGATTGACTCATATTGTTAATTATGATATTTTTATAGATTAGCAATTTTTCTATTATTTAATGAAATAATTTATTTCAATAATCTATATTTCAATAATATATATATATATATTGTAGGATATTCTGATCATTAGCCAATATTTTTCTCATGAATGATAAGTATACGAAAAAAATAGGAGATAAAAATATTAATGTTTTTCTTTATGATCAACTTTTTTAATAAACCTGATGACTGCTATGTAAATTTTGACACGAAATCTAAATTTGAAGTAAAAAAAAAAAGGGAAAAAAAAAGTACAGTATAAACAATTTGATGAAAAAATACAAAAAATGAGGTTATATGAATTGAAGCATTAGAATTTGTTTCTCATTTACACGTCATTCTTTATCACTTTTATTTTGTATAATTCTTTCAATATTGAAAAATATATACAAGAAATTATTTTTGAATGCAAAGATGTTAGAATTTGTTTTTCGTTCAATCTTTTAGTACAGTATAATGGTAAAGTAAAATGGTTCAAATGAGATTGGTCGAATCAAGCTTAAAGAATTGAATCATATTATTGGCTAAATGTTCAGTCAACTTCTCACTCACGATCCGTCTTTTCTCGTTTCAAATGAATATCGAAAATCTGTCACGAAAACCGCAATGCAATTAATTCACTTTTTGATCGATAATAAAGGTTAGAGACAATACGATATTTGTTGTACGCAGACGCAATCGATTAAAAAAAATTTCCGCAAGAATCCGAATGTCGAATGAAATGCAGGTTTATCGCGATCGCGTCAATCAATGTAGCAGTGGTCAATGCGGCATCATCAACGTAGATGCCGATACTCGGTTAATTGGAAGTGAAATCACTTAAGTAGACGTCTTCGTGAAACGATGCTTCGCGTTTTCGGTCCGTATAATCGCGTGGAATGGCAAATGATAGCTGGCGTGGTCTGTCGCTCGTTCGCAACGCTCGTTTGTAACACGCCGTCCAATTTCCATAATTTCGAGCCATGTTGTTTGATACAATATTCATTCGAGTATACAGTTACTTCGATATTTTGATATAGAACATCGAAGATATTTTTGTATTCGTTATTCAAAAATACAGGGTACAACTGTTATAATCAAAATTGATTTGATTTATCATTATCCATGATGAAAAACTTGATTATCAGTATTGTAGATGATTGAAATTATTTTATATTAAGAATAACAATTACTAGTAATAAAAACTTGTTTCAATAACTTTTAAAAATTAATATAAAAATAGATAATTATTTTAGGTTAAGATTAAGATTATTATTAATAACGAAAAATTTATACTTACCTTTGATAATTGTATATTGATTGAAAGTTTAATGAAGATAGTAAAATTCTATAGGTTTCTATCGTTTTCTAATATTCAATCATTTTTAGAAAAGTTTCTTAAATAGATTAACACAGTCATATAAGCATTTTTAAAGAAAAATAATACGTCAAATACATTTATATCTCGATATTAACAAAAATTAGCAATATATAAATGAAATATTTAAACTATCATTTTGAAAATAAGTATATAATTTCGATTACCAAATCAGGAATTAAGACAATCATATATTAATGTGCGAACAAGTGTAGAGACACCATACAGTATAATTTTCTCGTGCGATATACAACGAAAATTACACACCCTAGTGGCCGTTTCTGAAAATAATTGCGAATCTATAGTGTTTCACAAGAGGGCGCCAAAAATGAGACACAATGTCGTTACGTAAATGAAAGGAAACGCGGCAGGCGAAGAAAAGCCACATTAACTTTCGACAATTGACCAGCTCATTATCTGTCTGAATTCAAGAACCATCGTGTCCAATTAAGACATACGAAACGTGGCTATAATGACGCTTCCTTTAAGGAAAATGCAGGCCAATTCGCGCGGATGAAAAACTGGTCCTTATTATATTATAACCGGTAAAGCGAACACCACCGAACGAAAGGTTAACAATTCCCGCGCTACGATATCAAAGAGACATGAACCAGTGTATATATCATTATGAAGAAATTGCAAGAAATTGTAGTGATATAGGAAGTGTAGTGATATTTCGAAGATATTTTAACTTCATCACAAGTTTGAGCCTTATTTAACACCAATTCACTGATCCATAATATGTGAGTACCGAACTAATGTATTATTCATAGATTCAAATTAAAGTATATCATAATTATAGTATCTAATCTAAAATAAGTATCTATATATTGAGTGTGAAACATTCAATTCTCACTTCACGTGAAAGTGAAATATATTTTATATATATATATATATATTTTATTTAATGAAATAAAAATTATTCGAGAAAAATTAAATTGATATAACCTTCATTATATATTATTCAAAATATATTATTTCAATATTTGTTGTATATTTACATTTATTTGTTAAAAATATGACAAAGAATAATTCTTATAATTCTTATAATAGACTTTAATTATAATTTAATTAAAATTTAATATTTAAGTTTTACAATAAACTTAAATTTGTCTTTAAAGATTATTTTGAAAACATAAAATTTATTAAAATTCATTAAAAAATTAAAAATAGCTGATAAAAATGAAATAATAATGAAATAAAATAATGAATTATTATTCTCATTGTTAATAATTGTATATATGTGATATTAATTTTCAAAAAATATATTTCTAATCAATAAAAATATCTTTCTTGCATAATAATTTATTGGTTAAAATATTGAAAAGCAGATTTTTCTTTAGTTTAATTGTCCTAATTAACATTTCAAAATATCTAAAACAATAAAGTTTTATAGTTTCCTTTTGTGTCTTCAATATTCTAGATAATAATAGATATAATAGATTCTAGATTCCATTTATTTACTTGTTTATAAAAATATGAAATTATCTTAAACCACAAATATTATTTTTATCTATATTATCTATATTGATATATATTGATATATAAATAGAGATATACAGAAATATGTTTTGATTATTACGTTTTAATTCCGCATCTTTGCTTTCTATTTGGTGAATATTCAACATGTTCTTTCGTAACTGAAATTTCATTTGGATTAAGCTTTGTCTTTCAATTAAAATGGAATGGGCCATGTCTCTGACCAGCGCACGTGAACACTCACCTGATTAAGCAGTCGAAATCATCGAAGTGGATCTTCAGTGTCGGTACAGTTGGCAAAATCAACGCCAATGCCCGACTTTATAGTTGATGAATTTCGCTGTGTCCGTTTCTTTCGAAGCAATTACGCAGTATATTGGGCGTCATGAAATATTATAACGGAAATTAATGGTGATTTATAGAGAAATCGTGGATATTACAGTGAAAAATAAAGACAAAATGATTAATGGAAAATATTTATTGGGAAAAATATTTTTTTAGAAAAATTTTATAGAAATTGAAAATATTTCTGATTTTATTGAATACATAATTCTGTTTTTAATGAGAAATTAAATATCTTTTATCATGAAATAAAATTTATCGTGGATATATATTTTATTTTATCATATATTCTAATATATAATACTATAAACACGAACATGAAGATAATGATCTACCAAAGCTTTTTTGCTATTTGATCTTTTGTTAGGAAAAGAAATATATTAGATATCTGGTTTTATCTTAATTTACTTTAAATATTTAATTGCTTGAGAATAAAACTTGTCATTCGAATTTCATTCCATATTTTCAATTTATCTTTCATGTTTTCTTTAATTATATTCTTTTTTCTAACAAATTTTATTATAATTACTACAAGATATAAAAAGTTACCTGAATCATTTCTTATTCAAAATTCTCCCAATCAATATAGCAAAGAAGACTGATTCCTTTGTAAGAACAAACGAAACAATCTGCCAATTAACGAAAAATCGGTTTTTTAGTAAGCCAATCGTTCTCGAATGAAAGAAAGTTTCCAATACAGACAGTGAGTAAACGGTTTCAGTCGAATCGGCAGATTCGACCGTTATGTGGACGCTTCCACTTCCACATATTAAGTGGAAACATACACAGGCAGGAGACAAAACACCCATGTGTTTTCGGGCTGCTCTGCTTGCCAGATGACACCGGCCATTCGAAGATCCAACGTTGGCACACTGCCCCCGACGTTTACACGCGCACACGAGCACAGGCGTGCGACATACGGGCCCTGGAAAAAGGCCCACCTTCTCTCAAAACCTTCTCCTTCTTCTTCACTCTGGCGTGTGCCCATCGCGTGCCTTCTAAATCGCCCTTTCTGTGATCCCCTTCTTCCGGGATTTTCCGACTTTTTACCTTTATCTTTTTGTTTTTGAATATCCATTTGTAATCTTTTTTGTTTTCTATTCTTTGTTATTGTAGGATTTTTTTTTATTTGTTTAATTTTGATTAAAATATTAACAAAGAGAATAATAATAGTAATTATATTATATGATCTATTATTATTAAAATTTTTTTGTTATCTGTTCAAATATTTCTATTTTGGAATGAATTCTATTATGAAACAATATATCATTTTATAAATCGGTAAATACATATTTATGTTATTATATGAATGAATAATTTAATGAAGATGATTTCTTTTTTTACAATGAATGTACCAATGTACAATCTAAATATATTCTTTAAAAAATCAAAACCTTAGATATCCAATTTCATAAGTCACTATCTAAGAATTTAGCTTAGAGTCTTGAACGATTCGAGTGGAAAGCACTTAGTACGACGACAGCAGCTGGTTTAAGCCGGTGTCACGGTACGGACACCTAGTTCATCGGCGCGAGGCGAAGGGCTGACACGTGTGTGTGGTGCTCGTTCATCCCCTGCAGGGTGATTAAATGAAGCACCACGATTCACAGAGGGAACCAACCGTAAAACACTGTTGCGCTCTCACTGTCCCACACTTAAT